AGAAGAAAACGACCAGATGTGTAGTACTGTGCAAAACTGCAGCTGATATACTAATGGTAAGTATGATGCTCACCATTTTAAGAGCCTTCAGTTCCTGGCTCTAAGGATAATCAGCAGTGTGCCAATTTCTTGGGATGGCACTCCCCAATAAGGCTCCTGGACTTGGTTTGGAATAACTGGTAAATTTATTGGTTACAAATAGAAACACAATATTCTAAGTATATAAAATATAAAATAAAAATTGGAAAGTCCAAATTAAAAGTCCAAATCAGCCAAAATGCGTTTCATTTGTCTGTGAGCTTCCTCAGTCAGCTGTGATGTACCCTCAGGAATCCTTTGCTTTTTAAATTTTCAGTAAGTTTTGTGAGTCCTCCCCTTTCGAGTCACATGGTGTTTTTAAAAATGTTTTCTTTATTTTAGGCGTGCAGTGTTAAGTATAAGCTTTCGTAATGACTTATGACAAGAGGTATAATGACAATGTTTAAACAGATAAGGTCAAGATGTGCTGCACTTTTTTATTTTAAAGAAAACAAGCTTATTCACAGTAAGCCAATACATGAGCTGTGAGGTAATTAAGACATGCAAATTGACAATAGATTAATCTAAAAGTATATAAATGTAACCATGCTGAGCCTATGAGCAACTTAGTCTAGCTTTCGTAAAAATTCCACCAGGTATGAATTCAAACGAGGATAAGATAAGGAAACAACACAGGTAGCCTGCATCCCTGCCCACATTAAGCTGCATAGTATTATCCCCAGGCTTGGCCCCTGTCCTTCATGGATTGAGGTGTGAGGGGGTGCACAACAGACATTAGTCCTACACACTGCCTATAATATAGCCTGCTGATCATGAAAGTAGCGAGTAGAAGCATGGCCCCAATGAGCGGCATCTAACATAGCCATAGCTATTCTCAAATACCATGCAGGATGTGTAAGTAGTTGTTTAAACCACTGAAAACAAGCTTAACATTTCGCTGCTTATTGGGTCGCGAGAGGGTAGAGACATGAGCCCCTGCATAAAAGATAACGCATTGGAGCATATCGGAGCTGGTGTGTGAGTTAACCGGTCCCCTTTTGCGTCCAGTGTGGCATGGAATCTGGAGAGTCCGGAGGTGATGGACAAATCCTCCAGTCCTCCGGTACCCTTGTTTGGTCTCCCGCCTCCATGGTCCCATGAGGGCGTCAAATGTAGGTGTCAGGCTGATTCACTGGCCCTGGTTTATGTGTCGGTATGGTAAGGCCTTTGGTGTCTACTGGCATGTTGGTTGGTGTGAGGTCTTTACATGCAATTATCTAGGGTGCTTGGTCTGGGTGGTGTCAAGTGGGTGTCTGTGTTGGGGGCTGAACGTGGATGGGTATGCGTCTCTCCGTAGTGAGTCGGTGGTGTCCCTGTGGTATGTCACACATGGTCCTTTTATCGTGGCGTTCAGGTGTCTACGGCAACACAGGCCATTATATTACCCCTAACCAAAGGGGTGGTGGGGAGGGGGGGGAGGATGTTGTTATGGTGTCAGGGATCTTACCTTAATGAGGAGTCTGACTTGCAGAGTTAAAGCACCCTTTGCAATGTAACACAAACCAAGGAACTCAAGGTAGAAATCTCCAAGGATGTGAGATAGTGCACTGGGGCTGTAAAGACACAGTGCTTCCAGAACGTGGTACCGGCAAGGATAATCCAAAAGAGTAGTTGTGGACGTAATCAAAGGTCAGGACAGGCGGCAAACAGGCAGAAACGGGAAACAGGCAGAGATCCAAACCAGGAGTCAGATGTACAGCAAATAGGAACAAACGATCTGAACATGAGGCTGAGTCAAGGCAGAGTTTAAATAGGTGGATAATTGCCACTTAATCTGGAAACCAGGAACAGATGTTCAGCAATCCAGGAGTAGAGACTCAGACATAACAGGAAACAGGAGAAACAGAAAACAACACGTGTGGCGTTAAAGATAAATTCACTGCCTGGGATGCAAGGGATCCCAGCCAAACCCCAAAACAAAAGTCCAAATGTGGCATGATGAGGATCATGACATATGGTGTCATAGTTTTGGGTTTTGAATAAGTGAATGAGTGAGTGTAGCAGAGGTGTGGGCTGCACTTGGGCCTCATGACATAATACATGTGAACGTGTGATGACAGGTAACACAACATGATAAAGAAAAGGGAAAGAGAGAAACAATAAGAAAAATTAGATAGCACTTTCTTCCGTGTCTGTCAGTGCCAGTCAGTCATTTGGGATCCCTGGGTATGGCCCAGGTTGTGGACTTTTCCGGTCCCGGTTAAGTCATTGGGCTTGCGGAGGCAGTCTGTCTTGGTATGAACGGTGCGGTGGTGTCTGGGTTCCATACCCTGGGTTGTGCCTGTTGAGGAGTGTTAGTTGTTATGTCCGGCAGTCCCATTTTGGCCAGTAATGCAGGTACCTCCGTGTCCGAGGATATCTTGTGGGTGATACCGTTGTGAGTGATTAGCAGGGTTCTCAGTGCTCCCCAGTGGTAGAGTATTCCTGTTGTGCATAAGTGACTTGTGAGCCGGTTCAGCGACCTGCGCCATTGTAATGTGGCTCGGGTTAAGTCCTGGAAGAATGATAGTTGGGCTGTTTCAAAGGTAAGGGGGGTTTTGCCTCGTGTGGCGGCCATAATGTGGTTCCAGTCCTGGGAGGTGGCACAGTGTAAAATGACATCCCTGGTATGTGCGGTTGGTACAATGGGGGTAGGTGGGAGTCCATGTAGGCCATCCAGTGCTATCTTCCGGGTGACTGCTGGTGGCAGTATGGTGGCAAGGAGTCTCCTTATGTAGCACATTATGTTTAATTAAACAATCATGAGTTCTGCTATTTCTTGTTTGACCTAACTGCACTTGTGGTTGGGGAGCCCTTATTGGATAATTGAATCTGCCACCTTAATTTAATAATACATTTTACTAAGTCCTTTAGATGAAGAGAGGCTGAACTTCATCTGGTATGCCCACGGTACACATGGGAAGGTGGCACAAAATAAAAATATAAAATAGGAGAAAATTTCTGTTTGTCCCGTGAGGAAAGGAAAAAGACTGTGTAGTAGAAGGAGGAGGTACCTTTTATCCCCACAGTCTTATTTTGATTGGAGGATTTTTCTGTCCTGTTTGTGGTTGGGGAGGAACTACCCATAAGTGATGCTGCCATGATTAGCCAGGAAACATAGTTTTGTCTCTTCTTGGCTTGGTGAGAGTAAATGCAGAATTTGCACAGATTAGAGATTTATAGCAAATATGATTTTTGTTTTTACCTTTATCATTTTTACTATTTTTAATTTAGCAATATCTTCATGAGTTTGACAGAGCATAAAATATATCCTACATATTTTTTCTAGTTCTTTTTTTTTAATCTTGTGATCACTCATTGGTATTTGTCATTTGTGTCACCCTCCCTTTCGTAAGCTATGTCACAAAAAGACAGCAAATTTTGCATTCTATGGAAACTGACTGGACATCTAAGAAATCAGGCTGTAATTAGGAAATGAAACTAATGACTTTATAACATATGGTAGCAAGGAGAGCAGGTTTAACTATTTGGCTATTTCAGCTTAAATTTGAAACTTGCCTTGCATTTCCAACAATTCCCACTTTAGTTAATAACTAGGTATGAGATCAGTGATGTACACACAATCCATAGGGCCCCAGTGCGAAACTGATCCGTGGGCACCCGCCCTGACAGGCACACACACACACTCACACACATACATACAGACACACATACATATACACACATAGACACATACAGACAGACAGAAACATACAGACATATATACACATACATACAGACAGGCACACATACATACATACAGACAGACACACAGACACATACATACAGACCGACACACACAGAGACATACATACATACAGACCGACACACACACAGGCAAAGACAGGCACACACACACAGACAGGCACACATACAGACATACACATACATACAGAGAGACACACACATACATACATACAAAGACACATACATAAGACACACATGCATACAAAGACACATGCACACATACATACAGACACACACACACAAGACACACATACATACAAAGACACATACACACATACATACAGACACACACACACACACAAGACATACATACAAAGACACACACATACTTCCTTCCTCCCTCTCTCTTTATGCTGGGAGGAGTGACGTGCAGTCACTTCCTCCCAGCAGTGATCTTATCACAGGGGGCCTGGTCGCGCTGTTAAAGCGCCCAGCGCTAACCGTGCCCCCTGACAATCCATCTCCATCGGGTGGTCCTGACAGCATGGGCCACCCGATGGACCCCTTGGACGGCGGCCCCAGCAGTATGCCGCCTGGGCCGCAAAAGATGGCGGCGGGTCTCTGGTCGCAGGGGTCCATAGGGCGGCCGGTCCCCCTGGAGTGACAGGCGGGGTCGCAGCTGCGACCCCTGCGACCGCAGTATGTACGCCGCTGTAGGAGATGTTCTGTTTTCTCTTCATCCTTTGAATTATACACAGTATAAAATTATCCATAATTTTCCCATCAGAATGAAGAGATAGCAGGTGTTCTGAAAAAAATAATCTTTGCCGGTCACTTTGTAAATGATCACAGCACAATTTCTATTAATGTGTATATAAATTTGCAGTTTGCACATTATTATTATATAAACTAATTTATATCCTGCCGCATTTGGCCGATGGTTATAGAGTGTTCCTGCTTTTTATTCCAGGATGCCTTTTGTACAGGACGGAACAATGCTCTCAGAGTGATAATGTACTGAACACATTGACCTGCTCACTTCTACTTCGTTATCAAAGTTTATAAACGGATAACAAATTAAACAATGCTTAGAAGCTGTTGATTCTGTGTATAAATTAATTCAATATTTATATAAATGCAGCAACATGCAGTACTGTTTAAATGAAGCTGTTTAAATGAAGCTACTGATATAATTTTGTCATTATTTAAACCTCAACTTAATTCTTTGATTTTTTTTCCAACTTTCTGTCTTCTCTTTATCCCCATGGCTCCGGTTCATTGGAGGATGTGCTGGATGGTGTGGAGGGACGTCTGGGAGTGGCTTCGGTGCCTGCAGAGATGGAGGTAGCCACAGATGGCGGTAGGAGGGCCAGGCGATCGCGGCCTCCTACACGCTTACAGCCCGCCCCAGTGAGGATATCCGGAGGCGGACGGCAGAGAGGAGAGGTGAACGGCAGCGGCATGAGGTCCCCAGTGCCTACTCGGGAGGCAAGAACTAGCCAGAGGCCTATTGCTGGAGTTGGGATGAGAGTACAATATGGCGGTATGGCGGGAAGGTCTCGGAGCCCGCCGTCTCTTCCGGTCTGGACGTCGGGAAACGTGGTGACGCCGGAAGACACGCACAACGTTGGTGGCGTCGGTTTCGGAAGGAGTCTGGATCGGATGATGAGGAACAGGAAATTCCAGGAGGTCGGGTGCCTGCAGTTCCCCAGCGTGTTTATGATTGGAGTAACCATTTTACTGCATGTCAAGTGTCTTTAAGGAGTTAACTGTAAACTTTGCCAATTTAACCCATAACAATTCATGAGCTATGAGCCCAAAAGCAGAAACTTAATGAGGCCTTGGCCCGTCTATCTGACAAAAAAAAAAAACTGCATTGTTTAGCACTCATGACACACTTCTTGCTTGATCCAGGTTTGTTTGCAAGTATCCCTAATATCTTATCTCACTAAAAATGACCTACTTGTTCTCAACAGCATAGCAGGCATATTCGTATTTAATTCAAGTATATTTTTAACTTAAACAATGTGAAGCTAATAGCCTATTGTTTGTACGAGGCTCTGGTTTTACTAATATATTTCAAGCAGAAAAAAAATTACATGCTAATGAGATTTTAGTACTTTTCATCATTTTGTGTCATTATCTGAGCTAGATACTGTGCAATGAATTTGTATTTAGAATTCATTAAGTAATATGCAAATGAAAGCAATTCTAGAAGATACCCTTTGGGGCTCAGCATAAGAGACAATTCATCTGGAAAATGTATATTTAGAAGAAACAAGTACTGCAGATTATTAAGTACCTTTGAATCTAGGTTCAAACTGTGATGACACATGTGAAGTGAAAGGCAGTAGCCAAGACAGCATTGTTTTGATCTAAACCAGGCTTCTCCAAACTCCGGCCCTCCAGATGTTGCTAAACTACAACTCCCACGATTCTCAGCCTATATATCTCATAGACTCATGGGAGTTGTAGTTGAGCAACATCTGGAGGGCCGGAGTTTGGGGAAGCCTGATAAACACTAGCTATGCTATTCACTAACGTGAATTGTCAGGAAGAGAATTTAACATTTTAGACCAAAATAGCCAAACTAAGAACAAAGCTCATTTAAATATCCTCCGCCCCCCACCCCCCATATTCAGCTATTTTGGCTAAAATGTAAAATTCACTTTTAATTCAGTGTGAGCTATTCAGTAATTTACACGTTTCTGAATAACCCTGTAAATAAAATATTGCTGTATGAAGATTAACAACATTATTCACTAAAGCAAGAATTGTTTAGAAATCAAGATTAATTTAACATGAATATATAATTTAAGTCCAAAATAGTAGAAGCAGAAAAATCCTTAGGTCAACTACATTTTCAGTTTGGCTGGTTTAACACCTCTGCCGAGATCCGCTTCTGGGGGACTACCTGACAGCCCGGGCAGTCCCCTCTCTGCAATTTAGGCCCTCGGTGGCCATGTGATCGCTCATAGCTGCCTATGCAGCTGTCTGCAGGGAGACTGCCTAAACTGACAGGCAGTCCCCCTACTGGTGGAAAAAGTGAAAAAAAAAATATTAATAAAGCAATCAGGGTAAAAATTTTTTACAAAATATATATATGCATATGTGTATATGTATGTATATGTGTGTGTATATATGTATATACATATATATATATATATATATATAGTGTGTGCCAACCCACCCCTGTTTCATATATATATATAAATTTGGGAGTCTAGCCAACTCCTTGGTTTTGCACCCCTCCCTGTCACAGGTGCCTCATCCCAGGGCCCTATTTAGCCTTGTACTGCAGAGAGCCCCAGATGGAATTTTTTCCTCAAGTAAGTGGGTTAATGGCAGGCTTATGCAATGTATGATCATATAATGTAACTGAACCCCCATTATTTTTGTCTAGATTAGGTGTTTTAAAAAAAAACAAATACAATCTTTCAACATTGAAGTTGCTGTTTAGTGGATAGGTGAGTGTGCTGGATCTTGTGTATTACATATATTTATATATATATAAATAAAACCCATAATAAGTGTATTTTTATATTGATAAATATATATATATCAATATACATTTATTATGGAGTTACATATATATATATATATATAAATATATATATATAATTGTGTATATATATATATAAATATATATATATATATATACAGTAATTGTATATATTATATATATATATATAATTAAAAAAATGTAAATAATAAATACATTAAATAAATTAAATAATAATAAAATATATATATATACAATTTCATTCTAAAAGTATTTTAATATTTATATATATATATATATGTATGTATATATATATATATATATATTTATCAAAATACACTTAAAATGAAATGATATATATATCTATATATATAAATATATAAAAATAAATAAACATATACATATAAATAGATATAATGATATAAATAATTACATAAATATACACGTAGGATTTAAATACATATATATGTATATATATATTTAACTTCTACATGTATATTTCTGTAATCTTTTAACATAATTAAGTCATTTTATTAATTATAATTTGAGGGACCAGCCTCACAACCCAGGCAGCAAGTCCAGAGAATTTAATTTGCAAGTCCTATATATATTTATCCCTGTAGCTTTTCAAAACACCATAAAACCTGCACATTGGGGGGGTGGGGGGAGGTACTATTGTACTTGGGAGACTTTGCTGAACACAAATTTGTGTGTTATAAAACAGTAAAACTTATCACGACAATGATATCACCAGTAAAAGTGCAGTTTTTGTGTAAAAAATGCAAAATAACAAATATGAACACTAACTTTGGCCAGCATTTGTGACTAAGTGGCTACTAAAAAACACTGGACATACCACAATTTATTTTTTTGATTTATAAATTCTTTATTTTATTGGTATGCCATGGTGGGGTTAATGTTAATTTCTGGGCTGCCATACTGTCTCAAAGGCATCATAGCCAATCTGTCAAATTTCAATTTGTAAAAACAGAAATTGGCAAATCTTATATTTGACCCTATAGCTTTCCAAAACACCCCAAAACACCATAACACCTGCACATGAGGGGTACTGTTGTACTCGTGAGACTTTACACTACACAAATATGAGTGTTTTAAATCAGTAAAATGTATAATACTGATGGGCAGTTTATTTGTGAAAAATGCAAAGAAACTAATGTAAACGCAAATTTTGGCCAGGGTTTGTGACTAAGTGGCTTCTAAAAAAGACTGGACATACCCCATTTTGAATACCCTGGTTTGTCTACTTTTACTATTTACAAATAGTATGCCAAGATGGGGTTAATTTTCAATCCTGGGCTGCCAAACGGTCTCAAATGTAACATAGGCCCAGCAAACCAATTTGGCAAATTTTAATAGAAAAGGGGAAAGCCCTATATTTAACCCCTGTAAGTTTCCAAAAACTCATAAAACCTGTACATGGGGGAACTGTGGTACTCGTGAGACATTGCTAAATACAAATATGTGTATTTTATTGCAGTAAAATCTAACAGTATTATAATATTCATGAGCATAGATTAGAGGGTTTCCCTGCTCTCGTGCATTCGTCTATGTTCAGGGAAATTTACCAGAACATAGACAAGCGCACCAGAGCAGGGAATCCCTTAAGTCTTCACTTACTGACCCGGTCATTCTACGACCAGGTCGTAGGAACAGAACCCGGTCGGCAAGTGAGGAGTACCTGCATAATAAGTGTGGGTGCACTTAATATGAAAAGGTGAATTATGGTTGAATAACATATAGTGCAACTTCCAGGTTTTGTTTTGATCACAACTTGTACAATTGGCTCTGTCCTTAAGGGGTTAACTTAAATTATGAATTCATATTCAATTCCTGCCATTGTACACTTTACTTCCTGCTAGAGAAGTTGTTTATTAATTGCGTCAAATTGCGACCAGGAAAAAAATGATTTTTCTGCACCTATTAACGAGTTAGATGAAGCTGAGGTGAGTTTTTTTTAAATTTTGTTTGTTGACAACTAAGCCAAGTACAATGCCAATCCCATACTTTACCAGTTTTTGTCAGATTCTCTGGTTATACGTCAAATTGAAAATGGGCATGTTTAATCAGTAGTAAACATATGTCTACTACATCACTACACAATTTTTTTCTTTCATTTGCTTTGCAAAACAAAATTTTGTCTATAAAGCCTCACTTACTGTTATTTATACTCCACTAATTATTACCAGCATCTAAAGAAATTGATTTCTCTGTCATGAGAATTCCACCAATGTAATGTCTCCATTTATGATTAAAATGACTGCTTTCTCCTTTGAAATAGTAAAGGAAGTTTCACTGATCATACAATTCCAACAGTCAGGGACTATTAGCATTACAGAAATTGCTTTAAACCTTTTAAATATTGGTATTTTACAAATTTGTGATTAAAAAATATATTTACTGTATGTGGGCATTATACCCAAATCCAGAATTTTTTTACATATTGTTGCCACTTTCAGTAATCCGTATTGAGATGACATGTATGTTTGAGGATCCAGACCATAAAGACTAAATATAATGGGGATATTCTTATCAATAAAAAAGGTTGTAATATACGATTTCAAGAAGTCTTTGAAAATAATATTTCTACGTTGAAGTGGCAACTCAAATTCACAATTTCTTATCACGTTGCAGCAATTTGGTTTAGTTAACAGCAGTTTGGGTTTAAATGCTTAGCAAATAATCTTCTTTTACTTTAGACAAAAAGCTTAATAAAGAGGACTAGATTTAAATAAATGCAAAGCAGCAAACTGTCACTCATTCCGTGCTCAAGATCGTTCATGTCTAAAACCTTTTATAAATCCATCAAGTAAATTAGCCCACTTCTATCCAGTAGTCAACTGTGATATGACGTTCTTTAAAGATAATGTAAGGTATCAGCCGAAAATTCTATGAAAGGCTTAATTGTTTAAACTTTAATAAGAAGAAGAGGGTTTCTCCAATCTAGGCTTTATTTCTCATTTATGTAAAAGTAAAATAGCCAGAGTGAAACGATAAGCATTGAGAATCATGTCAAGGTATAGGACAGAACATCAATCTCCCTATAAAAAGACACCGAGAGAATGTCATGTTTATGTTTAGAGATTGCACAAATGTAACCTTTTATACTCAAAAGCGGGTCTGGTTGCAACAGTGTCTGGGTTCTTAATTTTTTGTGTGTAAGGAAAATTAAATAGGGTACATTATATAAAAGTGATATAATTATAAACAATTACC